CCCCAGCCAGCATGGCTGGCTGGGGAATTCTGGGAGTTGAAGTCCACCCATCTTCAAGCGGGCAAGGATGACAGTGATAACCGTGTTTGCACTGAAAATGATTTTGTTATGCATTACTGTACGTGTTGTATGTTTTATTTGTATAGTTTTCATGCATAAGCTGCCCAGAGTCATTAGGGAGTTGGGTGGCCTCAAAATTTGATTAAATAAATAACGAATAAATAAGTTTCCAGGCAGTGGCCATCGTCCACAAGGCAGGCCTTGAGATTACATTTCTGCAGCTGCTCTGTACCTTCCAGGGAACGCTCTCCAGCTCCTGTCGGGGCTTGATCCCGGTCCCGATCTGTGGCTGAGAGAGGAACAGCCCCGTCCTGCTGGTCTCTGCCTCCTGTCCGGCCTTTAGAGGCCAGCGTCCTCTCTGTGGTTTCGCCGGCCGTCCCTGCAAGGGGATTGAACTGACCATAGCTGAGAAGGCCGGCTGGCCCCCTTTGGCAGCGGAAGGGCCGGGCGAAGGGGACGGGGCTCCCGGAAGACCCAGCCGCAAACTCACCGTCGGCGTCTGTGGGGCAGAGCTGCAGCCTTGGGTCAGTCTGCGGGCTGCCCTTCAACTCTGTTGAGACACGAGGCCGCTGCGGGAAAACTCCATCTTCGCCCTCAAGCTGCCCTTTGGCCAGGTTCTCCTCAGCAGCCGGCTCTGCGTGGGTCGCCACGTCTGCACCGGCAAGAAGGGAGGCAAAACTAGCAAGGGATGACCACACGTGGGCCCGTTTCAAGGCAAGCGTGAAAATGCAAGCCTTTGATTTGCACAGGACGCCTCGCCAAGCAGAATGAATTTCTCAGGGTGAAGAGGCCTGTGCAATCCAGAGCCTGCTTCTGTACAGGAAGAAGTTGCTGTTTGCCACTTCCGAAAGCAGCCCACCCAAACGGGGCATCTCATGCCCATGCCAGCTGAGGACCAACCTGCTCCCTTAAGTCCCTGAGCGGCGCAGGGGGCCAGCGTGCCTCGCCTGCTGGGCTCCGGCCATTCTCCCTCGGTGCTGCTGGTCGGGGTGCCAGGCCGGCTGGAGAGGCTCAGGGAGACCAAGCCTGCCAAGGCTCCTTGCCGGCTAAAGCAGGGGGGGCTCTTCATCTGCACCGCAGGACCAGCTGGAAAGACAGAGCAGAAGCTCACAGATGCCCACAGCCGCCCTTTAAATCTGCACGGCATTTCCACCATTCGGAGAAGTTCAGGGAGAGGGTTCCTGAATTGGGGCAGGGTATGTGTGCGTGCGTGGGGGGGGGCTAACAACTCCTTCTGACCTGGGAGCAAAGTACAAGCAAGAAGCTTTAAGGGCTGAAACTGATCCCCCCCCCCCGCTGCTTTTGATGATTAACAGTTCAATCCTGTGCTTCTCAGCTCAGGAGGAAGATCAATGTATGTGACCACAGCCTCATTTTTTCTTTTCACACGGAAGATGCATTTTGGAAACAGTGGATCAAACCCAGGTCCAAGTCCCCCTCGGCCACGGAACCTCACGGAGTGACTTTGTGCCACTCCCCCTTGGTCCCCTTTATTTATTTGTTTGGATTTTAAAGTTTTTGTCTGTTCTTCATCAGTAAAACAATCCGAAGTGGAAGTACTTCATTGAAAAGCAAATGAATAATTTGCAAAAGTGGCAGCCACAAAGCGGACCCTGCCCCTGTGGGAAAACGCTGGAAGAAAAAGAAATGGCAAAACATTAGAAACAATTAAAACCAAAGGGGTCATTCTGTGAAACCACAGAGTTCAAATCTGGTGAACAGATAAATTTTAACCTAACACTGGAGGCTTATTTAACGCAACGTGAAACGGCGATCTTTCCCGGCTCCCAGTCTGGGATACCCCAGGCAACCTTCCCAAATTGCACGTTGCCACAGCAGGCTGAGAAACGCAGCTACTTTGCTTGCACTTCGCTCTTCCCTTGCGCAAGGATGCGGGTGAGGGGGACCGATCCTGCTGCGCTTGCAAAAGAGCAGCGAGGCGGACTCTTCCCAGAGTGAGGGTGGCTGGGCGTTGGATGGCAGAGACATTTCAGCCCAACGCCTCTGGGTCCACATCTGGCTGGTGCTGGAAGGCGGTCCCATTTCTGCTCTGGCAACCAAATCAAGGACGCCGGCCAAGGGGGGTGGCATCTCCTGGCATGAGATAACAGCATCCTCCAGACTCCTCTGGCATCAGCAGCTTGGTGCAGGATTTGGGAAGCGCGTCTGGCTTAGAGATGCTGCTCAGCTCCTTTTTCCCCGCATGATGAATCCGATTCCTTTCACTCGGCTTTGCTCCCTGCCTCTTGCTCATTTCTCTCCTGAAAATTCCACCTCCGTCAAACGCTTCGTGGCTGATCCTCAGCCTGACAGCTGTCAAGAACCTCCCCGGGTGCGCGCACAATTTTCATTGGACTGGAAAGAGATCAGCTCAGAACCTCTGCCTGGCTCCGGGACCCCCGAATGCATCCCGGCCGCTCAGCTGTAGTCCCCCGGGAATGGCCAAATCGTAGGTCTTCCAAGAGGGAACCTGCCCGGCCAGGATGGGACCTTTGGCGGGGGCGGGGAACGGAGCCTGCCCAAAGGTTCAGCCCGGCAGCCAAGGCACTCACCGTGCCCGCTGCCTTCACTACCCCCAGCAGGCGTGATTCGGTCCAGGCTTGCGTTGGCGTGCCCACAGAGGAACTCTGGGATTTCCTTCACCAGCTTCATGAGGGCACAAAGATGGTGGCTGCTTTGGTCCCTCCCTGTGGGGGAAAGAGCGACTTAAGAGGAAGGTCAGAACAGTCGGGGAAAAGGATTCTGCCCAAAACGCGGTCACAGGGCTGGCCAGCTCTCACAGAGAAAGCGGCCTCACCCTTAATCCTTGGGTCTCCAGCCCTGGGCCCTCCAGAGGTGCTGCAACTGCAACTCCCAGAATCCCCACCCAGAACGGCCCAAGGCTTAGAACCATGGGCACTCCAGCCCCCACCCATCCTGGCTTGGGAAGGCTGGCAGGGAGAAACATCACCCTGGCTCCCTCCCACTCCTACCCTCCCCACTGCTGGCTGCGGTCAGGTGCTCCTCTGCCGGGTCCTGTTCCAGCTTCCAGAGTCGTTCCACGTCTTCTGAAAAAGGGGGCTCTTCACCTGCAGCGGGGAGAGGGAGACCACCGGCAGCCTAAGGACGCACTGGTGTGGCACATTTAATCAATGCTCTTGTAGAGAGGAAGGAAGGCGACCTCGGCAGAGGTAGGCCAGATCCGTTGCCCAAGTGACAAGGGAAAAAGCATGGCTTAAGTGCAAAAGAAGGTACTGTATACGTGACTCATACAGACACCTCCCTCTTTCACAGGAGTATAAAAGTGGGGGGGGGAAGCACAGTCAGACTTGCAAGATTCTGTTACTGAAGCCAATATTAATAAAGGTAGTTTGAGCCTTCTTGTAGAGTTGCTTTCTCGGTTTGGTCTCCACAGTGGGGCTAACCGTTATCTCCCACCCCATTAAAAAGGGCAAGAGCAGAGGGCCAAGACCAAGGAAACAATTCAACCCTCCCCCCCCCAACACTCCTGGCCCAGCAGGGTAAGGAAATCAGCATCACGTGGCCGGAATCTATAGGCAACCACCTCTCCTTGCCCTGGACCCTTGTTCAGAAAGTCCATAAGATGGCCAAAGGAGGACCTTGCTGGGTGAGGAATGGCTGGGCAGCCCTCCCCCCAGTTTAACCTACTTTTAGCGAGAAGATGTACTTCAGCAGCGCTCAAAGAGTCAAGCGCATCACACACACCCCCATGGGATCCTGTCTGCAGCCTCTCTGTTTCACTAGTCTGTCCCATTGCAGAAAGGGGCTCCTTACAATGGGCTTTGTCCCTTCCTGCAGCAAAAGGCAGCCTTCTTCCCCAGGCGGGGCTGGGGCTCTCAGCGGTCCCTTCTGGCTGGCAGATCAAGGAGGAAAAGTCCAGGGTGGGGACAGAATGACCTGTTCAGAAATCAGACACGAGAGGGAAGAACTTGCAGAAAGGACCACAACCAGCGGAGGGAAGGCTCCCGAGTTCAGTGGGGCAGCCAGCGGCCTGAAATGCCCAGGAAGGGTTCGGGTCTGGCGTCGGGGGCCTGAACTCCCACCAACTCAAAACACAGGCCCAAAACAAGCAGGGTCAAGAAACACCCCGTCCTTCACTCTCCAAGAAAGAGAGGCTGCAACTTCAGGCAGAGAGAGAGAGGGGTGGGAGAAGGAAGGCCTTGTCCTCTGCTCGGACTTCTCCTCCTCCTCCTCCTGTGTTTTCTTTCTTGAGAAGATTCACCACGGCACTTCTCTAGGGGCCACAGCGCAGAGCAGGGCCCGGTCCCCAACCACCCCTCCTAACTCCTGGGAGAGCCTCCGGCCACTGGCACGGCCAAGGCTGAGCAAAACAAATCAGCATCCCTGAGCCACCCCAGGCCGCTTCTTCCACGGGACCCCTATCACAGATGAGGGAGAAGGGAGAAGCAGAGCCCAGAGGCAGGGTCCCCAGGGGCCTCACCCAGCGAAAGCAGCAAAGAGCGCATCTCCAGCATCACTTCCTGATGCAGGTCCCTCTGGCTGCCTTCGAGCAGGGACCACTCCTCCGCTGAGAAGCCGACGGCCACATCCTCAAACGTCACCTCGTCTGGAGCGCCGGCGGTGGGAAGGGCCCCCTTCGGTGCCTGTGCCCAAAGCAAGAGACAGGCGTGAGCCAGGCCGGGCCATCGCCCGGGATCGCCATCGAGGAAGCCCGGAAGTGAGGCGCTTCCCAACTGAGCGGTTCTGGGCAAGTTTTCCCGGGCCTGACTCCAGGCTTCGGTTTCTTGTTTATTGATTTAAATTTGTACTCCACCCAATGCCCGGCGACTCTGGGCAGTTCACAAATAAAACAGCAGCAAGACAGGAGAACCATAAGACAGGAATGAAAGATGGAAAACAAGGAGACCCGCCCCACCCTCGCCAAAGGCCGGGGCGAAGAGCCAGCTCTTCGGGGCTCTTCGAAACGACAGCAGAGTGGGGCATCTCGATCTCAGGGGGCACCTCGTTCCAGAGGGCAGGCGCTGCTACAGAGAAGGCGTGCTTCTGGGATCCTGATAGATGGCACGGTTGAATTAAAGGAACCTGGAGCGCGCCAACCCTGCTGGATCAAATCAGCCAGGCAGATGCTATGGGACATGGGTGGTCCCTCAAGAAACCAGCCCCATGTCATGTAGGGCTTCACAGACAGTGACCAGCACCTTGAATCACACCTGGAAGCAAACTGGCAACCAGTGCAGCTTGCAGAGGGGTTACAGGGGCATACTGACGCATAGCAAGCCATGCCCCTCACTGCCCACGCCGCTGCATTCTGGACCAGTTAAACCTTCCGGGTAGTCTTAAAGGGCAGCCCCATGTAGAGCGCATTGCAGTAGTCAAGCCATGAGGGGACCAGGGCATGAGTGACTGTCTGGAGGGCCTTCCAATCTAGGAAAGTGGACTTGAAATGTTGAAGTCCGATTTGATGCTTTCTTTCCTTTCCAATAAACTCCTAGTTTATGACTTCTCGAAATGCCCATTCAAATCCACAAACCCAAACTACCACATGCAAAGGAGGGAACATCTCCCCACCCACCCGTCATTCAGTTCCTTTTTAATCAAAATGAAAGGGAAAACAGGATTTCTTCAAAATACCACATCTGGATAAAAGAATTTGAGGACGCAGAGCTGGGAGAAAGCTAATCTGTACGGTAGCTTCTCGATAGGAGTTTTTAAAAGCTAAAGGAAACCTAAGTATGCCACAGAACATTATAAACCTTGTTTTTTCTCAACCACAATTGTTTTCACATTCTATTTTGAGAGGAGTTTAAATTGATCCAGCTTTTGAAACCAGGAGTCTGAGGGGGAAGAGGAGCAAGCAGAACATGAAACCAATTTTTTGCAAGCCCCTTTATATTTAAACAAGATTCTCGGGCAACTCTAAACACTGTGGGAGGAGAGCCAGGTCAGTCTATGGTAGCCCAAAATTAGGAGTTGTTTGGAACAGGGGTCATCCAATGAAGCTGATGAGAAGAGATTTAGGACAGACCAAAGAAGCACTTCTCCACGCAGGGCACAGCTGGCCCGTGGGATTCACGGCCACAAGACTTGGGGACAGCCCTGAACACTTGGCAGATAGGTCTGTCAAGGCCTGTCAGTCTTGGAAGACCCCTGGATGCCTGCTGCGTTGGGGTAGATGTCTCCAAAACCAGGAGGACAAAAATGATGGGAGCCGTTAGGTCAGCATCCCCTGCCTCTTGGCACCAGACAGGCCCGATTGGCCACCATGGAAAATGAAATGCTGGACTGAGAGGACCTTGGCCTTCTCGTGTTCTGCGGTTCTCCACCATCCTCCTTGTAAACCATACTAAGATCAGCCATGGACTTTGCCAGCCACAAAGCACGGGCAGCTTGTCCTCAGAGGTAGAGACCCTTGCAAGCTAAGGGAATCTGGACGTCGGCTCGCCCAAACTCCATCCAGCAGCACCATCTGGACTTTGAAAACGGGGGGGGGGCAGGAAGGTGAGATCAGTCCTCTGGCTCTTTGAAACAAGGAAAGGTGACAAAACCAGCAAGCAAAGGTCAAGTGCAGATTGTGAGCAATCTCAGCAGAAACTGAAGCAACTTTTTTCCCAGTTCCCCAGATCATGGTGACAAAGATGGAGGGCAAGGCTCGAAATCAATCCCCCAGCCATCGTATAAATTCCACTGACTTAAAAAAAATGACCCCGAAACAATGAACATGATTTTTCTATGCTCTCTCTGCCATCCTAAGATTTTTAACTTGACGACCTCATAAAAACTGCTACGGCCAGTCTCTGAGTATTGATCCATGATAGAAAGTTAAGGTAAAAACGTTCTGCAGAATAGAGGCTTTGGAGACTTAATAATAATAATAATTAAAACAAAAAACAAAAACTAGTGTGCACCAAGGAGGAACAACCATTCAGGGAAAAACAAGGCTAAGGAAAGTGGGGAGGAGGGGGAGGCGGCTGCTCTTCATGATGCTGGGCAGAGACAAACGTTTCAGCTGCAGGCAGGCTTGCCGTGGGAATCAGGAGGAGCCCCAATGTCTCTCCTGGGGGGTCAAGGGATCACAGTTCACAAAGAGCCCATCTAACTGGCACGCAGTCCTTGCCCTGAATTTCCTTGGACGTGCTTTTCTTTCATCTGGCAGAGAAGTGATTCACGCTGTGGGGAGGGGAGGGGAGGGGAGGGGAGGATGCGCGGGGGCTGAACTCACACCTTCTCCTCCCCACTCTTGCTTGATTTTGGCTTAGGTGCTGTATGAACCCAAGCACTCTGGGTTGCCAGCCATCATTTATGGCTTAGGGTGACATCCGAGCCCAGTGTGTTGGGACGGGCTCAACCGATCGTGGCTTGGCAAGATGCGTAGACGGAGTCACACGGCTGCCTTTAGCACGATCAGGTATGCTGCAAAAAGTGTGTTTGGCATGAAAACGGATCCTCCAGGGCTGGGAGAGCCCATCTCCCGGAGCTCGGCCTCCCTTGGCCTTTCTTGTTGGGGTTGGGCTGTCTTCCTCCGGCCTCGGGGTTGGGAGCAGGTCGGGCGTTTCTGGTGTCCTCTGCTTCAAGGGGCTTCGTTGCCTTTCACTGTGGAATCTTGGGGTGGTCCATAAATGAATGCGATACCGACAGTCAATGAGTATGAAGCGAACGGCATCACGGGATCAGAGAAGGAAAAGCAGGGAAAGCCTCCTTCCCGTCTCAGCAGCCAAAGAGTTCTGAAGCCCCTTGAAGAGCCGTCAGAGGAAACCCGGCTGGCACCGGACCCAACTGCACTGGGGCACCAAGCAGGCGTTCTGCACCCAGAATCTTCCAGATTACTTGACCTGGCTACTTATGCACCAAGTTCCCAGGAACACCCCTTCGGACGAGCTCAACACTTGTTTTCTGCCTGCCGACCTCTGATTCCTCATTCTTTCTTTGGGACCGTGGTCAGCTAAGTGGAGGGCACAGGATGGCATCATCTTTGGAAGAGCCAATTGTTTCCAGAGCTTAGCCGCCGCCGCCTCCTCCTCCTCTTCCTCCTCCTCCTCCTTCTCCTCCTCGCACAAATTAGCAGCCTCATAGTACCGTAACAATTTTAAGAACTGCACTGCCAAGAGATCTGGACTGCACAAGGTTGCGGAAGGCTTAGCGGACCTGTCACAGAAAAAAGGGAAGAGACTTGATCTCACTCCAAATTCTGAGGCCAAGGAGGCAGGAAAGAGAAATTTCCCCCTGGAGGGGAGAGTTGAAAAAAGTTTTCCATTCAAGTGGAGATACTTCCACTCAAATTACTGCCTCTCCAAGGTAGGTCACTACAAATCAGTGGGGTTTTCCCTCCCCCTTGCAGCCGTAAACCCCTCACTTTTCAGGACTGAAGACAAGGCAGCTGAAATCGTGCTAATTAATAGCAGGCCTTAATGATGCAAAAGAGGAAAGGGAACAGGACACGCATTGGGTAGTATTGCAGGCAGCCACCCCAGTTGGATGCCAAGGTCCCGACACGGAATCCCTGTTGCTGGAGCGCATCCCACCCAAGGCATCAAACAAAATGATGGGGAAAAACTAAAAAGTATATAATCCCAACTCCTGGTCACACTGCCTAAAGCGCTCCATCTAAGTCTAACTTCCGTTTCCTTCCACAATGATTCTGTTAGTTAAAATTTTGTCACCTCAGTTGTCCATCTGAGAACCGGCCACAGCAAACGCCTTACTGTTGCCCCGGATTCATAATGCGGTGCGTCGGTTCCTGACACATTGAAAGGGTGGATGCTGAAGCCCCACAGAGGCGACCGCGGTGAGGGGGTCGACGCGTCTATCCCAGCCCAGAGGAACGCAGCAGACCCTCGGTCGGAAGCCCCAGGAGGGGGTCACGGGGTTGGGAGGAAGACTGCGGGGCGGCCGTTCGGTTCCGGCAAACCTTAACACGACCAAGTGACCCGTCGCATGTCGAACCCGGTCCGGAAGCGAGGAGGCTCGGCGGGAACGAGAGGCGTGCAAATGCCCTTCAGGGACACCACGTTAGGTAATCAGCCCGATGAAAAGCCGCGCAAAGCACTCCCTCGCCCAGGCGCGTGCACACGACACCTGCCCCCGGAGCGACCGGACAACTTCCTGGAATGACCACAAACACCGCGCGAGCCAGGCCAGAGGCCGCGATCCGGCGGGTTTTTCCCGGAGTCGCAACGCAGCAAGTGCGGCTTCCGAGGAAGTCCAGCTCGGAGAATGACCTCCCTCTCCTGGGGCGCGGACTGGACCTCGCCGGACCGCTTTTGCCATGCGGAGGCCGGCGCGCTTAAGGGGCTGAGCGCGGCCCGGAGAAACGCGAGGCCGGCTGGCCCGCCGACCTCCACCCCGGGACGTGGCTTCCTGGAAAGCCCGGTCTGCCGCGGGCTTTCCTGGTGGCCTCCCGTCCAAGCACGCCCAGCCCCGGCTGGCGGGGCGCGCCCCCGCCTGCGCTGC